GTGGTAAATCAAATTTTAAAAGAGCTATTAACAGTTTCGTAATTTTTAGAATTGTCTGTATATCTGTCTGTCTGTCTGGTTGTTTATGAACGCATCACGTCTTAAGTAAACATCTTTTTTTCAAAGAAATCGTTAAGAAAATCATAAAGCGTATCTTCCAGTTCATTTAATCTTTGTTTTATTAAAATTGGTCAATTCTATCGAAACTTATGATTATTATTTTGAAATGTAGGTTCAATTTGTTTAAAGGCGCCATAAAATCTCAGAAATAGTAATAAAATGATTCTTGTGTAAAAAAAACGTTCTATTATAATATATTTATACTTAAAACACAGTAAACAAAAAAATATGTTTTCCTTAAATTAAAAAAAGGATGTTTTCTCACAAAGAACTTAATAGATGGCGTTGTACAAATAACAACTTTTCTGAATTGCGGTGTTAATATTTTTCACCGGTGAATCGTATTGAGACTCACTGAAGTAACTTGGGTAAACGAGTCCATTTAAGCTAAAAGAACCGTGTAGGGTGTAGGCTAACAGCACAAACATCATCAGAAACAGAAACTAGAAAAAAGATGCGTACGCCCAAGCTAAAAGTAGCAAAATTGCAACAAAAACAAAATGTCATGTTGTTGTTCTATACCAAGCTGACGCTTTTATTGACATTTGAATGAAACATTACAAAAGTGTACCACGAAGAAATGAATGCCCAAAAATTTAAAGAGTGGTTTACGACCCTTATGCAAAACCTTCCAGAAGAGTGTACGATAATTATGAACAATGCTCTTTATCACTCTATCTAACTAGATAAACCTCCCACACAAGCTAACAAAAAGGTGGATCTAGTGGCATGGCTACAAAATCATGGTGTGGATGGATGCTGACATGAATTTATTGAAAACAGAACTGTTAAAATTAGTCAAACAAAATAAACCTGTGAGGCCAAAATACGCCATCGATGAGTTGGCACAGGAACATGGGCATAAAATTATGAGGACCCCACCATACCACTGTGAATACAATACTATAGAGACGATTTGGGCTCAAGTTAAAGGATAGTTTTTAAATATTTTAATCTTAAAGCAACGATTGTATACGTATTTATAGAAAATAATCTAGGAACATTATAACATTAGCAGATATTTATCGTCTAATATAGCGGCTGATTGCTGTCGTATTTTCATAGTTATTTAAATGGGATATATATTAGAACCCTTCTAGCCGTTTGACTGCACAAGGGAATAAACAATGTAGTCATTATAACTTTACTTCTTTTACAGGCTATGCTGCATGTCAAAATACAAAACCTCCATTCACCACAAAATAAAATGCTTGGTATTCTTAAAGAAGCATTAAGCACACGTCACAAAAGATGATTGGATCAATAAATAATAATAATTTATTGCGTTAAAAGAAGTAGTAAGTTGTTACAATATTGTTGGGTACTCTCTTTTAAGGAAATAGATACCTGTAGTAGAGGGACCCGCTCTTCCGTAGTACAATTATATTATAAAATATAATAATATTATTAAATTAAATAAATTATACACAATTTAAAACATGCAGTAAGGTATAATTAATAATATTTGTGTGATTGTGTGCAAGAATGTTTGTGTATGTGTGTGTGAGTGTGTGTGTGTGTGTGTGTGTGTGTGTGTGTGTGTGCGCGCGCGCGTGCGTGCGTGCGTGCGTGCGTGCGTGCGTGTGTGTGTGTGTGTGTGTGTGTGTGTGTGTGTGTGTGTGTGTGTGTGTGTGTGTGTGTAGGGATGAGTGTGAGAAGTCTGTAATTGTGAAAATTTATAAGGCACTGTTTTCTACAAGGGATTCAGTTTCTTCATAAGTAAGTTTTCTTAACCAGTCTGCTACGGTTTTTTTACAGTCATGGTAATTCATAGGGTAAATATTGTAAATATCAATGTATTTATTTATTCATAGGATACCAGCAGTGCACACATTATTACATTTTATTGAAAGTAGGCTTAATATATTGTCTGATGTGTGCACCCTTACACACAGCATTACAAAATGCTATAAAAATAAAGACAGGGCAAAGCTACAATAGCTTATAAAGAAATATGTCACAAAAAATAATACTTAAAGATAATGTATAACCAAGAAAATAAAAACATGCACATAACTAAACAGCAGCTGTATAGAACATGGTTATTAGATTATAATTAAATCATTCACAAATTATTTATAATAGTGATCTATTACATTTTTCCTATATTTAGGGAAAGTATCATGAAAAATATCGACAATAGGCAACACACCACAGACTGAATTATAGGTGACACACATTCGCGGTACCGGGGCGTATGACCCCATGTTAGTCCTGAGGAGTGTGTAACAGTTTTGTTATTGAACGACCAGGGATATTATATGGTACATTAAGGGAGAAATATTGTAGTAGTTCACAGCAGGCAGTCCGTCCGTTTACAATTTTATATAATACCAGCAGGTCGTGAATTTTTCTCCTACTATTCAGGGAAGGTATTTCAAAAAATGCGACGATACGACTTAGGGACCTTCAAGAAAAGAGCCTACTCCTTTTTAAAAGGCCGGCAACGCATCTGCAATTCCCCTGGTGTTGCGGTTGTTCATGGGCGGCGGTAGTCACTTACCATCAGGTGAGCCGCATGCTCGTTTGCCCCCTCTCCTATAAAAAAAAAAAAAAAAACCTATGTGAAATTCCACTACATATGAAGGCAAGATGTCTTGTATAGGCTCTCTGAGTACCATCTATTCTTTGGGAGTGCACAGCGTATGTTGGGTTCCATACTCGCATATTCCAGTTGGCTCCTTACTAGGGTGTTAAAAAGTAAGATTTTTGTGCTTATTTGAAAGCCTCTGGTATTGCGTTTAAGGAAGCCTAGCATCTGCGCAGCTTTCTTTACAATCATATTAATATGAGGAACGTAGGTGAGTTTCATTTCCAACATAAAACCTAGATCTCTCATCTCACCTACTTCTGCGAGCATAGTATCTTTAAGATTATAAGAAATAGTGCAAGGCTTCTTTTTCTTAGTAAATTTGATATAGAAACATTTTTTGGGATTTAACATCATATAGTTTGCCTTACACCATTCTTCCAGTCGGTCGAGATCTTCTTGAAGAAGTAAAGAGTCAAAATTTGTTAATATCACTCTTGAGAGCTTCAGGTAGTGTGCAAAGAACCGTAACCGAAATGTAGCTTGCCTTTTGCGTACTCGTGACATATAAAGATCGAGCACAATATTGGTCCCAGATGGGAACCCTGAGGTACGCCACATTCTGCGTAGTATGTTTGTGATTCATAGCCCCCCACCGCCACCGACTGTGTTCTTTTCTCTAGGTATGAAGTAAGCCAAGCAAGTAATGACCCATGAATTCCTGTGGCTTCAAGTTTGCTTAGTAACAGGCAATGATTTACCTTATCAAAGGTGCTGGCAAAATAAAAAAAGAACAAAGAAAATTATAACAGTGGACTGTAGAAGAGACGTACATTTTAACAACTTGATTGAAAATTAATTTATTATAAGATTAACCGATGAAGACATTTTCTGGATCATCCAGTGACGAAAGTAAATAAAAATGTTACGAATTCAGTGAATTTATTTATTTACCTGACCCGACAACACTTATTTATTGTTAATTTTATTCTTGACTAGCGACCCACTTCGGCTTCGTACGGGTGCGTATCAGTGGTGTGTCTACATAATATACTATGTATTAAGTATATTATTATATACGTTAACCTTCCAGAAGAAATCGGTATGTCGGGTTTATATTATGTCTTGTCATTGAAACTGGCCCATATTTAAAGTTAGTCAGGATTTATATAATAACTGTGAAATGTTACAAACTCGTACATGTATGAATATGATATGCCTTGAGAATTTTTAAACGATGTAGATACATTGTCCATTACAAACTCTAAATAATCGATATGTCTCGAGAATCGGTTTTTAAAGCAACCAATTTTTTTCCCATCATTACACAAAAGATTTTTATAGCTGTCAAATCGGGCTTCTTAAATCCTAAGGGTATTAGTGTTCTGTGTCTTAAATTGTCACGAGTTATAAACTGAATTATGTAATTAATTTTTATAGAATAAATACTAAGTCAGGCGTTAGTTCTAAACATATTACCTCTGTATATTAATTGGCAAATAAGAAACAACATTTGTGAACTTTTAAGTTAGCAAAGTATAGAGTTGACAGTTGACATGTTAAATCAAGTATTTTTTCAAACTTTTTCCTTTTTTGTTTTAAATATTCGTGATATCCTATCCACCTAGCTCTTTGTAACGTCTTCCGAGATACGTATCTTTTTTATTTAAACGAAACGACATTAAAGTAGATTCTTGGTGAGAAATTCATTGCAAGCACAGAACACAATTACTCTTTACCAAGAGATTGCAAGCATAGACATAGAATTCTCTCTATGACTATAATTGCAAGTCAGAAGTCAGTAGACCTTCCTTATTATATAATATTGCTATAGTATACTCCATTAAAACGTTCTGTGACCTTAAATTATTATTTTGTTTTAATAACAGTTCTTAATTCTACCCTCTATATTAATTTTAAATTTCAACTTTATAAATTTTAAAATGCTTACATAAGGAATTTTCTTACAAGCATAATTATATTTCTGTACGTAGAACGGAATATGCGTCTTGTACGTCACTGATCGAACGTCCGAGTGCAATCCGAACAATGCCGAAATTAGCCGAGCAAACGAGTCTGTGAAGTCCGAAGAACCTAAAAATTTGTCGTTCACTGTATTGATGTAAATTTGAAAAATTAACAAAATGATATTGTAAAACTGTACCAAGACAAGCGTTTTTTGTTTTAAACACTGTATCAGTGATACTATTTTGACTATTTCATTTTTAGTATAGAAATTCGTCTGCTAAGTGAGAGAGTTCAGTGCGAGTGCTAGCAAGGGTGGTAACGAGAAATGTGAAGTAGTATCTATGAAGTTCAGGATTCGGGCGTTTATTTTATATCTATAATAATGAGCGGGCGCCCTAGGACCACGTCTTTCGCCGAGGGCAGCAAATCCGTTCGAAAGACATTCGAAAATCAGCCACCGAAACCACCTCTTGGAGGAGTAAAAATTTGCAGTAAGTACTACCTAACCATTCTTTTGTCGGCCATCGTGATTTCTTATACTGTGACGTTTTCGGATTCTGACATTGTAGCATGACTGCAAACTGGCATTTTGGGTAGAATTCCAAAAAACCTGTAGGCTTTTCCTAATTAAATCGATATTGACAGAATTGTCTATATCCGTCTATACAAAAATGGCTACAGCTACAGGCTGTGGCTTAGATTTGCCACATAAGCCTTGGCTTGGCGTGTGACAGATATCAGTCACGTCAAAATATGATTTTAACAAAATGCGTAGCGTAGTTCTAGGATCACTTTAGAATACGTAATAATTTAAGACGTTTTAGTACTGCATTGGTAATACATTTTAATTTTATATTTTGAATCAGTTTACTGAATGCGTAATTTCACTATTACTTTGAGGTTACTCTAAATGACGTAATTAATGATACGGTCTATAATAGAACTGTATAACCCTATAATTGACTATTTTTACGTACCCGTATTTTAATAATTTTGTTACGAGCATTTAATTGTATGAAATATATTATATATATTTCAAGTTCAAAAAAAACTCATATTTCTAGAGAATACTGTTTCTCAATATGTTTTCATTAAATTCACAATTGTAAAAGTTTCATTTACATCCTTATACAAAGTAAATTACCGAGGCAATTATTAATTTTATCTTTCTTTTATATAATGAAGAGTTAAAAGATGTTATTAATATGGGCTAAAAGGGAATTACACTAAGTCTGCTTATCCTTAAAGACTGCATTGTTCTTGAAGATTAGATTTAAGATACATACTAATACCAAAAGTACGAAGCAACATTAATGATAAACCTTAGGTTTTCAGGAGAGCAAAAATAAGTTAAATTTTTTACAAAACTAACTTTTTGTCTCGAAGTTCTATTTAAAAATTGCCTGTGGCAATGTCTCTTAGATTTGTTGAGTGTTTTAGGAAAAAATAGCAAATATGAAATAAAGCCTGAAGTTTAAATATAGGTTGTTCATTAAATAATAATAAATAGTGGTGTTTTACAATAATAATATTTGAGAAGTATACCAACAGCCTATATTTGTGGAATATATAAAATTATAAATTTTAAGTTTTTTAAAGTAAATATATGTTAATAAGGCACTTTATATATTTGTGTAGTTGGTACTCAACTAACTAATTAATCTGTATTTTTAGTTTTTTGTTTTATATTTGTAGGTTGTGAGCATTTTACTGCTCAATCTTGCTTTTCCTTTTATCAATTAAGAACTAGTAATGATTATAATATATGATATGCAAGTACCACAAAGATTAATAACGGGTTTTTCAACAAGAACTTTGTTTTTCAATTGGGGCAACATCAAAAACATGACAGTTTTGACATTTAGTTTTTTGACCTATTCGTAGTAGATGCTTTGGCAATTGCTACAATGAATACAATTTCGCTCGAAAATCGCATTAAAATAATTAAAATCCACTATGAAAATGGTGGTTCTGTTAAAGTTACATTTCGTAAAATTCGTGATATTTTCGGACAACATAATCGTCCTTCTGAGACCGCTATTAAGAATTTGGTCGCTAAATTTGAATAGACAGGCTCGGTACAAAATGCGCCAACAACAATGCGTGTTCGACCGGGCCGTTCAACCGAAAACATCGCAGCCGTGAGCCACAGTGTTGCAGAAGATCCAAATTTGTCAATTCCTCGACATTCTCAACAATTGGCATTATCCAAAACCACCACATGGCGAATTTTGCGTAAGGCTTTGGCTTTGAAGCCTTACAAGGTTCAACTGGTGCAGGAATTGAAGCTGACCGACCATTCACATCGCCGTAGATTCGCTCAATTCATTCAGGAACAGCCCGCTGGTTTTTCTGAAAAAATCATTTTTTCAGACGAAGCCCATTTTCACTTGTCAGGGTACATCAACAAGCAAAATTGCCACATTTGGGCTTCTGAAAATCCTAAAGCAATTATTGAGAAGCCTTTGCATGCTCAACGTGTCACTGTATGGTGCGCTATGTGGTCTGGAGGCGTGATTGGGCCGTTTTTTTTCGAAGATGAGGCTGGAAATGCGGTAACGGTCAATGGAACTCGCTATCGCGAAATATTAACATCTCAATTTTGGCCTATTATTACTATACACAAACATGTGGTTTCAACAGGACGGTGCCACATGTCACACAGCCAACAAAACGATCAATTTATTGCAAACCAAATTTCCCGATCGCATAATTTCACGAAATTCAGTTGTTAAATGGCCAGCCAGATCGTGTGATTTATCACCACTGGATTATTTTTTGTGGGGCTATGTTAAGGACAGAGTCTATACGGAGCCAATCGAATCGATTGCGGCCTCAAAACTGAAAATCCGTGACGTGATTAACGAAATAGACTAAAACCTTTGATGAAAGAATCAACATCTGTCAGCGTGGTCGTGGTGGACATTTGCCAGATATCATTTTTCATTCATAATTGCCAAACTTTTCTCTTTGTAATACAATAAAAATTTGAATCATCTTCATCTAAACTCTTTGTTTTATTTTGTTTTAGAAAACAAAGTTCTTGTTGAAAAACCCTTTATAAGAGTTGAGGTACAGGATGGATTACTCACTATACCAAGTGAAATAAATTTCATGCTAGGAAGGCAATAATTGCATCTTTTGTGCAAGTATTGTATAGGGCATGGTACTCATGTGGAATTATTTAATATGTCATAATAATGGTTCTCATTTAAGTTAATTGTGAAGTTAAACACAGGTAGGATGTTTTTATGTTTAAAAATTTATGTAAGAGTTGATATCTCTATGAAGTATTACATATTATATATAGCTGCTCATGACGTAGAAATGTATGAAAGAATAGCAAAAACTCAAGCTATGGAGTAACTTAATTGATGTGTTATTATAAATAAATATTCTAAGTGTGGAGGAGGTATTTTTAAGGTATCTTTATAAAATATAAATTTTACATCAAGAAATTTAAAAATATTTTCTAATCCAATAGAATATTATATGTAATGTAAGAGATGTATTTACCACATTTTTTATTAAGCCTCTTTCCTGTTTGTCTGTCTGTCGGTCTGTTGTTCTGGGTGAAACCTTTCAACTCAATTAGAGCACTTTCCAATTAGCTAGAGATTTGAAATTTTGAATATAGCTTAGAATCAGATGACAATGTAGGAATATTAAAAAAAACTTGGTATATAAAAAAAATTTAGTACAAAATTTAAAAAAATCTTGTTTATACACAATCAAATCTAAGAAATACATTTTGACATTACACATTAATAATTCTGCAATAAATTTACACAAGCATACTCAAATGATTTAAAATAACCTGTTACGTAAACCAAAGAATTATGAAGTAATCCATATTTCATTACCACATGTATAGTTTTTATATCACTAATTAAAATTTGAGTCTTTCAAACAAAGCAAAATATGAAAAAAATCAGAATCAACTTTTATGCTTGACATTTTTTCAATGATATGTTGTTATGCACCTTACCGTAGTGTTTGGATGAATCATATTCATGCTAATGCAAATAATTGATAAAAATATTCAAATAATCAAACCTTTACATTTTTTAATTTATTAAATTGTTTATTTTAATTTTTTTTTGTTAAGAGTGGCATAAATTATATGAATAATGAATTAAACAAGTAATTTTTTTTATAATTTCGCTGCATCCTACTATGGTGAAATTGTGAAGATGCTGGCTTGTACAATGGTAGTATATGGTCATTGAGACACATTTAAAAAGAAATTGGCTTCCGATACAAAAAAAAATACATATGCAAAATTATTATTTAGGGACATAAATATTAGGAATAATATTTTTAAGAGAAATAAAAATTATAACCAATTGGGATAATGTTACAAAACATGGCTAAATACCAACCACACTGTGCTGCAGTCATGGACAGTTGAAGGTGGGCGCCTCATAATGTCATCTGGGATTCGCTGGGGAAGGATTTGTAGAAAATGCAGCTACTACACAAGTGATCACTGGGCCAAAGTGATAGAAAAAACAACGAAAACTGTTATGGAGGACTATGAAAGGGACATTCAATTTGAATGTATTACAGAAAATCAAATAATAATTAAATGTAAACAATGATAATGTTGACACCAGCTCAACTAGTAGTGAAAATGATAAAATAAATTTGTTCTCAATGTAGTGTAGTCTTTAATTTATATAACTTTATCTCTAGAAATTAGCAGTAAGCAATAAATATGAAAAAATTGATAAATATTTTTTTCAGTTATCTGTTTCTAATTTATTCTGATTTTAATCTAGATAAAACTGTTAATAATTACCAGCTCTAAAGAATCAATCTCAATATCTCTTAAAAATTGAATATTGTAGGTACTGACTTTTCAATTGGAATGCCTAGTCCAATAAATGTAACAGCTTTCAAAAGATATTTATTAGATTTGGTGGAGTTTGTGTATCTGGGTTCAAAGTTTACAAGAGATGGAAAGTGTGAGAGCGATATCGAAAGAAGAGTGAATGCAGGAAACATGGTGAATGGAGCTTTGCACTCCTTTATGAGCAGTCGGAAGGTGTCTAACAAGGCTCGTTTGGCTGTGCATGAGAGGGTGTTGGTTCCGACACTCATGTACGGAAGTGAAACTTGGGTATGGCAGAAGAAACATGAAAGCAGAATAAATGCAGTTGAGATGAGAGCATTAAGAAGTATGATAGGAGTTAAACTGAGTGACAGGCTAAGAAATAGTGAGATAAGGAAACGTTGTGGTTTGAAAGAAGATGTAGTGACAAAAATTGAGAAAGGTATGCTGAGATGGTTTGGCCATGTGGAGAGAATGAATGAAGAACGATTGACGAAAAAAGTGTATAAGGCGAGTGTGAATGAAAGTGTTGGAAGGGGTAGACCTAGGCGGACATTTCTAGACCAAATCAGGGACATCTTGAAAAAAGGCCAGGTCAAGAGTACCCTAAACCGTAGAGCATGTATGAAGGGAATAATGAAAGTGGACGAAGCAAAA